TGTGTGTGTGTGTGTGTGTGTGTGTGTGTGTGTGTGTGTGTGTGTGTGTGTGTGTGTGTGTGTGTGTGTGTGTGTGTGTGTGTGTGTGTGTGTGTCGTGCAGGACGATTGTAATGGGGAGAGGTCTTAGGATTTGAAACCTGCTTTTAAGATAAAGCTGACAACATAATGTCTAAAGTCCTAATATATTCATGGCCCCTCTCTCTGTTGACACACAGGCGCAGTCGGCATCAACATTCTCAAAATGCTGGAGTTGTTTAAAACAGGTCATGAGTACATGGTGGAGAATGACTGCTACGTCAGGACCCAGATAGCGATGGTATGTACATTTATCTGCCAACAACCCCCCAATAAGAGGACACTCGGTGTTCAGACAAAAAGCAGATTACATCTTAAATCTTGCATGTTTAAGGGAGCAACGTCGAGAAAGAAATCCTGATTTAAATATGTATACGTTTTATTCTGAACAGGAACATAAAATCGTTCAAGACTTGTTTAGGTGTTTTTAGCTATAAAATCACATTTTCCCTTACAAAGGGCTTTATTTTAAATATAGACTGATATTAAAATATATATTTTAAAACAGCGAGTGAATTAATTGTTTTTTTCTATAAATTAATTTTGACATTCAAATGCGGAAATCTCAAAACCATTCAGCATTTTTTGAAAAGGAACATGGAAAGGTCAAAAATTAAAATCTATTAAATTCATTAACCTCTCCTCTGCACAGCTTGACATGACAGAAGAACAAATCTTAGCCAACCTGGAAACTGTCCTGTTGGATGTCTGCTCCCAACGACCAGCTGATATGGGTAAGTTCACAAAAAAACGCCAAAACATAAAAGGTCTGCTTTCCTTCTATCACCATCAGCTGAGGAATTCTTATGCAATTTTGATAGCTCTTCAGGCTAAAATGACTCATTGTTGATTGATTTGTATTTGGTTGTTGAAGAGAAAAGCTGATGGAGATGTGATATGCCGCCTGTCTTTCTTTGGGATTCCTCCTGACTGTTGCATTTTCTTAATCAAGTGTTTTAAAGATGCCCTATTATGCTTTTGAGGTTTTCCCTTTCCTTTAGTGTTGTGCCCAGGCTAAAATCCCAAAGTATCCTCCATACGGAGTTTCTGTTTTCGTTTTTGTTCACACTGAATTTTTAGAAACCAACAGAGTAGTTATGTTTCTCAGACAAGTAACTTGGACCCATATAGCGGTAATTCTGTAACTGACGGAAGTTAAGGCAGCACTTTAATGCTTCTTATGTGTATGTTTATGAAGAAATAACTCATTATAAGCGTTAACTGCAAATCAATCACATGTTATGTTTAATTACCTCTAGAAACGGTACCAAAATGGTGGCTACTTATTACAATGTGGTTGCTGTTGTACACTTTTTAATCACTTTCCAATCCGCAGATGGACTTATTACTCGTTTAGCTTTGAAATGCTAAAATCTGCTGTTATAAAATCATCTGGTTGTTTTGTTTGCTTTTACAAAATTCACCACATCCTGCCTGGAACAGATTGGCACTCACAAATGTTCAGGTTGTTTCAGTTTGGTTGTCAGCCCAAACTCATTGTGAAAGGCCTCCAAAACTTTTTAAATGTGTATACCTCTAATGAATGACTCTATTACAATGATTGAGTGAAAATGACCTTTGATGATGCACTCGGTGCTCTTCAGTGACAGCATTATCTGTAGGAGTTAATTTATTTGTGATCTCCTGCACATTCGCTTTGCTTTTCACTCCGATAATAAGATGCTCAGTGTAATCATCAGTTAATGGGTCCCCATTAGAGAGAGAGGCTTAAATGATCTACATAATAATTGATTCTGAGCTCACTAAATAAAAAGTCATGAACAGTGCAAGTAAACTGCAAAGCTTTCAAAAATACTGATTGAGGACAATTTAAAACCGCTGGGCCTTTGTGACCTGGAAGTTCTCATTTCAACAACTTTTTGATTTTGCTTTAATTTTGAATCTCTATTGTTTCAAGGCTTTTATTGTCATGTGTGCAGAGCTACAGTGTAGTTATCACAATGACAATCTTAGGTCTCAGGCTCCTCCAACAGTGCAACACAACAAAACAGCTAAATCAAATAGAATATAATAGAAACAGTGCAGAATAGTCTATATACAGAAATTGGAATGTTGACGTATATGAGTTGCAAACAGATGAATGTTATGGATGTTCTTTCAAAAGTTCAGGTGTTTAACAATCTTGTATAATGAGGACTATATTGACACTCAAGCATTTGTCTTTTCACCCAGCCACTGAATAATGGCTTTTTTGCTCAAAGAGAGAAGAGAGAAACTATCTCTGGAGGAACTTTGGGATGTTAGCCTTTGCAGACCATTTACATGCCCCAAAACCTATATAACACACCACAGGAAATAAAAGGGAAAACCCCAAAAAGCATAATAGGGCTTCTTTAAAAAATATTTTCCTTTTTTGAGATTCCATGCTGACTTGCCAAACAAAGAAGTCAAAGGTGACCGCAGATAAAAACTTAAAATAAAAGTAATTACACTTCTCACTTGAGACCAAAGAAAGCCACCTGCAGCTTGTGTTTGAAGTGCTCACAGTCAACTAGAGATTGTCCCTTTTTATCCGGGTTGTTTCCTGTGGGCCTCATCCCTGCCCCCCTGGAAATGTTACCGCTCTGCTGAAGCCTCAGAGCTGCACAGTGAGCGTCTCTCAGGGACTCGTCAAGCTTTGCGGTTTTCATTATCCAGCTTTTGCCATCGAACAGAGCCAGCAAAGAGTCCTCTTTACTCTGTTCAGCAGTTCAATGACTCAACAGCGAGGCACAAGGACTCTGGTCAGAATTGAATTTCCTCTGTACCCATTGGTCAAGGATCAGAAGATGTTGCTACTTACGTTTTAGTTTATTTCCATTAATGTCTTTTTAAAGAGTCCTTTGCACAGAAGCTAATGGCTGCAGCGTGGGCAGAAACAAGGGGAAACTTGAATGAGAAATTCTTAAAACCGAGAAAAGAGTGAGGCTAAAGGGGATTATTCATGACAAAAATCACAACCATATGCTGATAAATAAAGACCTGGCTACAGGAAAAATGAAACGCAGGGGAAACAATGCTCAAATAACTATTCATAAGAAGGTAAATAAAATAAATATGTGGGAGAATTAAGACTGCAGGGACTTTGGTTTTGAATAAAGGAGACAGGATGTGGGTGAGAGATTTTAGGCGGTTTCCCAACTTTTTATAATGTCATATCCTAATATATAAAAACAAGGGCTTTTCTATTTTTTCTATCTTATTTAATATGTTCATGAAAATTCACCTCCAGATATGTTTTGTGTAACAAATACATTTCTCTTGAGATAATAGATTTCCGCAAAGAAGAAAAATAAATTGGCAAACTAACCTCTAATGAAAAGTTGAAAAGTTGAAAATATAATATATTATTTTATAGTGAAAATATTCATCCATTTCTCCAAAAAGGAAATGACAGAGGCCTCATTATTTTTAACTAATTAAAAAAATATTGTTGGTGGGCTTTGCAGAACCAAACCTCAGTGAATTATTTCAAGTTCCTTTCATTTTTTTATTTCAGTCTGATTTGTATTTTTTTTAATAGTGTTATTGATGTCTTCCAGCATTTTGAAAATAGTTTTAATCTATTCTCAAAAATGTTTTTTTCATACACCGACCTTTCCCCCAAACTAATGATGGCACTCTTCTTCCTCTTCTTTTCCCTCCCCTCAGGACCTTTCATCGAGCGGGCGATCATCGCCAGTCAAACCAGTGAAGCTCTGTGGTTTAGGAGTGAAGACCTTTTACAGAAACCAACAGAGCAGGAGGAGGAATAAGCTGTTCTCACAATCTAAATGTTCACTTTATTAAATAAAGTATTTGTCCTGAGTTTGAATCTGTTGTTTATTAAAAGAAAATCCCTGTAGAGTCAAAGAGGACAAAACCTACAAGGTGAAGTTACTTTTATTAATAATCCATTATTATATTTTACAGTTATTGTTTTACAAAATACCTGGACGTCATAGAGTTGTGACAATGTTTCTGTGTTCGGGCGACTGTGGCTGCTAGGTACTGTGGTCATCCTTCAATTGGAAGGTTGTGGGTTTAATCCCAGCCGTTGCAGTCGGTGTATCCTTGGGAAAGATACTTGACCCTGTGTTGCTCCTGACGGCATGGCTGACGGTGTGAATGTAAGCTTGTTTGAGCATATGGCACATTGCTCTGTATGAATGGGGTGTGAATGGGTGCATGATTACTGGTAGAATGTAAAGTGCTTTGAGGGGTCATAAAGAATGGATAAAGTGCTATATACACACAGTCCATTTACTCTTCCATAGAAAGTTTGGTAGCACAGAATGTCATATTTGTATTTACTACACACGCAGTTTTGACATCATGACCTTTTGTTTTCTTTCCATATAAGTTCTTACTTATACTGTACATGTAGTTAAACCAGCAACCCTTTAGTTCCCAAATCAATCAATCAATCAATCAATCAATGTTTATTTATAGCCTAATATCACAAATGTTACATTTGTCTCAGTGGACTTCACAGTTTGTACAGAATATCAGTATGACAATACGACACCCTCTGTCCTTACACCCTCACATCGTACAAGGAAAAACTTCCAGATAAAACCCACAGTTTAAAGGGAAACATGGGAGAAACCTCAGGGAGAGCAACAGAGGAGGGATCCCTCTCCCAGGACGGACAGAAGTGCAATAGATGTCGTGTGTAAATTGAAAAGATAATACATTTGCAACATAGGTAGACCAAATGTTTGGAAATGCATGTGTCTATAATAAGAAGATGAATCCACAAGGATGTCAACAATCCTGTGGGAGCCATCAGGGAAGTAGTATGATGAGAGTCAGGCAGGACCGC